CTCATCGTGGTATCCCTCTTTTTTGGGACTAGCTCAGTCATATATATCCAACCAAAGAGACCATATGGCCATGTCCAGGGAAAGTTCCTTACCCTCCTTTATATTGTGACAACTCCCACCCTCAACCCTCTTATATGTACTTTAAGGAACAAGGATGTGAGAGGAGCCCCGTGGTGATTGTTGAGAAGGAACAAAATTCCTAAGGAAAAAAGAAGGAAGCAGTGACTTTCTGGGCTAGAAAGTTATTATTAAGAGCCCAAATATTAAATACTCCAAACTCTAGATTATACTATACAGGTTGCTTACCTCTCTGTCTATATTTATGTACAGTATGGCTGACATGGTCTGGAAAGTACAAGTTGAATCTTGGACTTGTAAACGCATGACACCTCGTGTGTGTGTGTGTGTGTGTGTGTGTGTGATAAATATTCAACACTCATGAAATGTCTTTTTTTAAATTTATACAATAGCTGGGGTACAGTCCAGAGGTGCGGGAGGATGAGGGGATTCACCAGAGACAGAGCAGGGAGCAGAACAGGCAGACAGACCGTAGATACTGCTGAGGGGAGCAGCGGGCAAGGCAGGAGAGGTCTGCTGCGCCATGTGGTTTCTCCTTGCCAGCGGGGAATTGAATCGGCGCTGCAGAGCCTGCAGATAGCTTCACAGCACTGCGCTCAACCCACTGCGCCACCGGGGAGGCCTACTCATGAAATGTCTTTGAAGGGATGAAGTACATACTCAGACAGAGAGATTTTTGACCTACTGTGTAATCAGGTTTGGGATCTCTAGATGTTAATACATCCAAAGCGGCAAGATTTCACTCAAATTCAAATCAACAGAAGGCAAATAGCCACAATATGAATTTATTTAGGGATGGGTGTCCTGCATTACAATAATAAAAGCATACAATGAAATTAACAACAAAACAGGGGAAAGGTAATGAACGTAGGAAGTTTGTGAGATTGGTGCAGAGTGGGTGGGACAGCTTCAAGAACCTTCTGTGTGGGATGATGATGGGGAAGAGGAGGAGATGGTGGAGGGTGAGGTGGGGGGGACCCCACATCTCAGGGAAAGAGTCCCTGGTGGGTTTTGCCAAACTGTGGAAAAGGCTTCAGGGCTACAGGCATGGAGTTCATAACCATCTCAAATTGCTTGACTTTGGTGCCTGGACTTATGGTATCTCTCTTTGGTATGTTATATTAATTTTGATTGAGGCAGGGACTTTCCACACAGCCAGGTCTGTATCTTTCCTTGCCTTTCTTGTTTTATATCTTTTTTTTCAGTGCCTTTATAACCAAGTGGTTGAGAACTTAAGTAACTATCATGACTGCCATCATCAGGATCCTCACAACATCATAGCATCGACACAATACATTGCATTTTTGCATATGATTAGGGAATTATAATAGTGTTTAATATTGAAACAGGAAATTGAAAAGCATTTATCAGGGTGTGAAAATCACAGTAGTATTTCCTTTGTAAAAGTGCCCTGGTGTAATATTAATGAAAATGTGTTGTACACACATATGATTTCAGTTCTTTCAAGAAGCAAACACAAAAAATTTTGAAAATGTGTCTTTTTGTAGTAAAGACCAGATCTATGAATCTACTCAAAATGTTATTAAGAAAAAAATATTTATTTTTAAAAAGAAAAACAGGGCTTCCCTGTTGGTGCAAGGTGCTAAGCACAGCACTGTGAAGCTATCTGCAGCCACTGCAGCATGAGTTCGATCTCTGGCCAGAGCTACCCACATGGCACAGTAGACCTCTCCTGTCTCCCCACTGCTCCCTCAGCAGTCTATTCCAGTAGATCCACCTGTTTGGCTCCCCACTCTCTCTAGTGAATCCTCTCACCGACCCCCTGCCCCGCAACTATGGCTTACACCCCAGTTCTTGTATGAACAAGTAAATATATCTTTAAAAAATAAAATCTTGGAAGAAGGATTATTCTAAGAGAAAAAGAGGTTCCTTTATCCTGAAGAAAGTACAAAGGATGACTAGGATGATGGATTATTTTATAGGTGGCAGGCGCAAGTCAATGAAGTCTCCTTTTGGGGCCACTGTTTTATCTTGGTAGTTAGAACCCAAGAGAACCTGCTTGGGACAATGTGGGATACAGGGTGGGGGTATTTAAGAATTTGTTGAATATGTGCCATGGAGATGGGAGAGACAAATACCAGGAGACATGTAGACAGATATCTGGGCAGAAGTGAGAATCCACTTAAAATTAAAACGATCAGTGATTTGTTAATGGCATATTTCTACATACTTGATGTGTTATCTCCAGGAATAATTTCATGCCTATAGTATTGAGGAGATGGCCCTGTGGAGATGCTCCAGGCAGGTACTTTCCCAAGGGAAATGTAATGAAAAGACAGGGGAAAGAACATTTAGCTGTGATGAAAATAATTTAAACTAATGAGCCAACGGGATATGTGTATAATATGTATATTTAATACGTAGTATATTAGTGATGGGAATTGAATGTTGACAATGACAGAAACGAGACAGCGACTCAATAGTGGCAAGTTATGAGGGCAGAGGTTAAACACCTCTGTGGTTTGCCTTAGATATAAACAGCAATTAAAGGTCAGAGGGGCAAAGATTTTCTTTCAGAATGAGCCCCTGGGACAATTCTGTGGATACTACGGAGCCCAGTACTAATTGCCACTTAGGAGACCCACATCTCTGGGAACTTTTCAGATTCAGTGTCCTCTGTCCTCTCCAGTCTCTCCAGATGAGCTGATCCTCAGGGATCTTCACTACAGTAATAGCCCTACAAACAGTATGTGCACCTCAGCCACTGACTCCTCATTTCAAGGTAACAATAACTGGAGTCCAATGGGTCCAAGTTCTTTTCTATGTTAAGATGACAATCTGTGTGCAAAGGAAGGCGGCGAAATTCCTCTCTCTTGCCTTTCTCACTTGTAGGCATGCCTTGGCTTCCCATCCGCATCATGCCTATGATTCTTAATATTCAATGGTGAATTCAGACTCAGGTTTAATGTGATTACCTCTGAATCTGGTGGTCATATGATACACTATGTCATTCAATTCTACATCATGTGGAATACAAGCTTTCTGCAAGCTTAAATAAGATAACAGATTTTCTTATAAATAAGGAATTAGTTCAAGAATGTGAACTGATTTTTCATGGCATTTCTGTTGAGATAGTGTGCAAGTATGGGCGGTAGGCAATAGAAACACAAGGGAAATTCTTCTTGGACTGGGAAGATAAAGTAGAACCTGAAGCAGGACTAAAGAGATCAGCACATCTGGATTTTATCTTATTCATTTGATAGAAGATATGACTTCTTTCCCCCACTGATGAAGCAAATGAGAATTGACCTTGAATGAGTGAATGGGAGGATGACGACTGTATGTATTTGTGTGCATGGATGTGTATGCTTGTAGTTGTAAGCATATTTATTAGAATTAGGAGAAATATTTGTAAACTGGTTTCCTCCTTAATGGTCCTTTTATACTCTCATTTACTATTATGTTTGTCTTTCACTATTTTGAGAGAACATTCATTTTCTTGGTGCTGATATGTTGAATGTCCAGACCCCTGATCTCATTTTGTTTCCATGGACTTCTAAGTTTCTTTAAAAAAAAGTTAAAATATTAGGTATAATCATTTGATTAGATCATTTGATAACAATCATGAGAACAGCTTATTTATTTTACCTTCTTGGTTAAGTTGTATAACAAGTAATAAAACAAATTCTATTCTGCAGTTGTCTACTAGGGAAACATATTGAGACCTGAGTGACTTGACGAGGTGTAGAAAGTACGTATTTGTCCCAACATGAAATACAGTGACAGTCTTTTGTGTTTTTATGTGTTTGAAATGTGTTTGTATGTGTGAATAAATTGACTATTTAACATATTTATTGCTTATAACTGGAGCTTCAGAAAAGCTAGTTCTCTCCTAGAAGAAGAAATTCTAGTAAGTGTGCTGTACCTTGAGACAGGCTCATTCATTCATTTACAACCCTTCTTTCCCTGATTCTCATTCCTCCATTCAGATTCAAACTTTATATTCATTATATGGCCCTAAAACCTGTGTCCTTTCTATTTTATCACATGGAAGGAGGTAATGAGCTCATTTTCTGCATTCATGGCATGAACATGCATCCTGATGTGCTGTGGACTAAACTATTTAACTAATCACTAAGGGAAATATTCTTTGAGATTATGTGCATAGTCATTCAACATTTAGAAGTGAATGCTACTATTACTACTTTCTAGGGTAAATATTTCACAAAAATAACCTCTATCATCTCTAGAAGCTGTCATTTATGTTACATGAATTCTTGAAAAAAATGTCAGCTCAAGCTTATTTTTAGGGAACTGAAAAGTTATTTACAATTGTCATTAAATCTGTACTCTCATTACTTTGTTTCTTGTCATTTAAATTGAAATATTTGTCATAGCTATAAACTAAATTGAATGTATTTTTATTTGTCTGACTTTCTTTTTTCTTCTTTATTTTTTTCTGTGATATATTTTATCTTAATTTCTTCCTGATTATTGTGAGAAGAAGTTTCTTCTTTCCTGATTAGCCTTCCTGTGCCTCTCTTTCCAGAGACCTGTCATTCATGTCATTGTCTGAAGCTTCAGCAGGATGATAGCCAGTGTGCCCCAATGTGGCTGCAATTTCACTCAACTCTTTCTTTTTTCCCCAAGATTTATTTATTTATGCATATAAGAACTGGGGTACAGGCCAGAGGTGTGGTGAGTGAGAGCATTCATGAGAGACAGAGTGGGGAGTGTAACAGGTGGATCTACTGAAATACACTGATGAGGGGAGCAGTGGGTGAGACAGGACAGGATCAAACTCATGCTGCAGTAGCTGCTGACGCTTAACCCTTGCACCAGGAGGGAGGCCCTTCTCTCAACTCTTTCAAATAGTTCTTTGAAAAGGCTGATATTGTCATCAGTGGCCAACCAGTCACTCCTTCTAAGCTCCTCTAATACTTTCTGTCTCTGAACAGGTAATGGGCATCACCAACAGCAGTGCCAAGGAGGACTTCATCCTGGTGGGCTTCTCTGACCAGCCCCACCTGGAAAAGATACTCTTCGTTGTAGTTTTGGTGTCCTATCTGTTGACCCTGGTGGGAAATACCTTCATTATTTTGGTCTCCTCCATTGACCCTAAACTCAAAACACCTATGTACTTCTTCCTAAGTCACCTCTCCCTAGTAGATATCTGCTTTACCACCAGTGTTGTCCCCCAGCTGCTGTGGAACCTCAGGGGACCAGCCAAGACCATCACACTCCTGGGCTGTGTGGTCCAGCTCTATGTTGCTCTGGCAATGGGCTCTGCTGAGTGTGTTCTGCTGGTGGTCATGGCATTTGACCGCTATGCTGCTGTGTGCAAACCTCTGCACTATGCCACCGTGATGAACCCCAGGGTGTGCAGGGTTCTGACAGGGATTGTGTGGCTGTGTGGAATAGGAAATTGTCTCATCCAATCTACTGTCACCCTCCAGCTGCCTCGCTGTGGACAACGGCGCATTTATAATTTCTTCTGTGAGGTTCCCTCAATGATTAAGCTTGCTTGTGTGGACATCCATGCCAATGAAGTCCAAGTGTTCGTTGCTTCATTAGTTTGCTCATCTTGCCCTTGTTATTGATACTGATGTCTTATGGATTAATAGTCAGGGCAGTTGTAAGGATCAAGTCAGCCCAGGCTTGGCACAAAGTTCTGGGGACATGTGGATCCCACTTGTCGGTAGTGTTTATCTTCTATGGCACTGCTCTAGTGATCTATGGCCAGCCCAACAGCTCTTTTGCCCATACTCATGGGAAATTTATCTCCCTGTTTTATACAGTAGTGACCCCAACCCTCAATCCCCTCATCTACACGCTGAGGAATAAAGATGTGAAGGGAGCGCTGGGGAGACTATTTCACAGAGACAAGGGCTCATAACAAGGAGGCAGAGCACATAGTGGCCAAGTTTTGTGACAAAATGAAACTGAAGGTCACCTTGGGTATTCCTCCACTGAGGAGCTTTACGGTTCAATGAGGAATGGATGCCATCTTCACAGTCTGCGTCATTGCCTGTTGCTTGACCTTTCTGTCCTCTCTGGTCTCTTTCCCAGGCTTCATCTGGACCCTGTCGCCAAACACTTTAAATTCTATTGTTCATATCATTGTGCTTCTTGCCTTCCTTCCTGTTCTGTTTTTTTTAACCTCCCTGTTTTTAATCACTCCTTCCTTTTCTTATTATTGTCTCCTTTTTTGCTTTGTTTTCTTTCCATTTCTTACTTTATTCTTATTTTTCCTTCTTTGTCCTTCTTTATTTTCTTATTCCATTTTCCTTTAACTCTTCCTTTATTTCCTTAACCTTTTATTGATTTTTTCCTGTACCTTTATATTATGTGTTTCTACCATTTATCCCCTTCCCAAACAATAATTAAAAATTTGTAAAAAAACCAAACAAACTATTAATCCCTAAATGTACTAGTTATCAAACACAAAGTTTTCATTTGCCTAGAGGGGTAGAGAGAAGTGATTTCACCATAGAATTGAGAACTGAATTCATCTCCACAACAACCATTTGGAGATTGTGCAAGTTTTATTAAACTTTCTGTTTTTGTGTATCCAGCTTTTCTTAGGAAAAGAAGGAATGGGTTTTATTATTATGTTGACCAAAAGATTGGATAGGTCTTACAATTAAAATAGCTGGCAGGAAGTAATCTGTAAATATCAATTAGCATCTTTCCTTCTTTCTTATCCTCTGATCAGAGGAGTTCTCCCTAATCCATGTTTATTACTTTTATCTGTAAAAATACAAAATCTTACTCAGTAATTCCTTATCTATTACACTTAGATCTGAATGAAATTACAATCACCTGAAAATAGGGGAAAATAAGTCAATCACTTTTTTGGCCTTTATGATATGGAAACTCAAGTGATTTACTTTTTCACTAACTTAGAGAAAGCATGAGACACTTGCTTGAATGCTGATAATAGCATTGAAGTATCTAAATTTGTCTAAGTCATTTATCATTTGCAGAGCTGTAGATAATTACTTAGTATCTCTGATCCTTAGTTTCTCAGTTTCTGAAATGATGAGGACATCAAAAATTTGTTATGACTATTTTAGGTGTCAGAAGGCATAAGGACAGTAAATGTCTGTCATCATTAGCAAACTTTGTTGAACTTGGTAATAAGCATGGTGTCAGACTGCATGAATTTGATGGCAAGTATATTTATTGTTCTTGGAATACATTATGTGGGTACTCAATAGTCACTATTACTTCTCTCCTAGGCTCACCTGTGAAAATCAAATGATTTCAGCTTTTGACATCTGAAGGAATATGTTGGTTGTTTGATTTAAATATATTTTGTCATAGACCAAGCAATTGTAATTATTCTACTGTGACCTAAAGATTTGACTCAACTGTTATAATGATTGTGATTCAATTATAACATTTAGTCTTGCTTTGGAATCTGTAGTTTTACATTCCTACAGTTTGGAGAAAAAGTATTCCTCACACAAATTCTAAGGAAAGATATCCTTATCCAAACAGTATGTGGCATCCTCCGTTTAGTCATAATGTTTACCTCCCAATCTACAATCTGGATTCATCTACTACAGCAATATCAGATGCATGCTGAGTGGTAAGTCCCTTTTAGAGCTGGATCAACCTGATCCCTTACTCACCTGTACAATTACACAAATTTTTAAAATTCAGTTTTGATAACTACAACTCTTTCTATTATCCGCACAGTGACCTTTTCTCATTCTGATATAAGTTTTACTTAATTCCTTGTAATGAAACTCAGCCAATAATACATTTAGATGGATAAAATAGACCTGTGATCTCTGCCCTTCAGAATTTCCTTAAGATGAAACCTTGTGCACAAAGAACATTGATTAGCATTTCAATGACTTCTTCATTAAATGCATGTCAATAATTTATGCTCACTCTATGTTTATAACTTTGAAGGATTAGACAATGCTAGCACTTTCCAAAAATAATAGATAATATTCCTGTGAAATAAATTTCATGATTAATGACATAATTAACAAACCAATTTAAGTTCAGAATAGGTGAAAAATTAAAAAAGGCCAAGTATATTGATTGTCTATGTGTTTGAGAATATCATATTAAAGACAGATAACTTGATGACTTAGAAGTTCTGTGAATGAGAAGATCAAACTACAAATGTATGTGGAGTAAAGAAAATTGTTGTCCAAGTAAGGATGTCTGGAATGTGTCAAGGCAGAGGGCATCACTGGCTTCCAAAGACGTTTATCAGCAATAAAAAAATACATTATACTTTCATACTATACAACACTTTGTTAAATAAAATACTATTTTATTTAAAGCATGATTTTTCAAGTTCACATTTTCCCATGTTTTAATGTTATTGCCATAAACCTAAGTGATTTATTTAAAAGAGCAAGGGAGTTTCCAGTGCATAGCAAATTGAACAAAGTGCTTATTTCCCTTCCTTTCTAAAGTCCATATAAATTATGTTAAATATAAGATCAAATTATTGACAGGGAAAATTGAACTGCAAAAGAACTGAGTAGAGAAGAGATCAAAACTTTTGGAAGCTAAAAATGGAAGGGAGTGAATGACTTATACAAGCAAAGAGGAAACATCTGTTTTCAGAAGATTGGGAGACAGAAAGGCAGTGAGAATAAAAATATTTGTTCTGTCCCATTTTGGAGCAGCAAATGAAGCTTAACAAAAGTAAGCCCTATGTTATGTCAGAAGGCAGGTTGTGAATGAGACTAAAGTCAGAACAATTTGAAAATCTGCCTCAACAAAGAGCTGTGAGTGTCCAGTGGATTCCACTAGAAGACGATGGGTGGGTTGGTGGGGTGTGAGGTGTCGTAACACACATTTGAAGAGGGATGGATGTGTATCTCCAAAGCATGTATGGTGCTGTAAATCAATGTTACTGCAAATAAAAAGTTATATTTTGTTTTTCTCAAAAAATGTATGTCAAAATTTGATAGCCCCTGGCCCACACAAGCAGAAAGGCTTCTTTCTGATAACAACTGGATAAAAGTATTCACCCTTAGAAGGCTAATACCTAGAGCCTTCTGACCAAGAAAGAGTGTAATTTGGTGGTGGGTCTTTCAGGTGCTGAAAACTATCAGGGCTTCCTTTCCTGCAATTACTCCCCATTCTATCCACAGCAATGGCAGCCAGCCTTATAACTCTAGGCAGGAAATGGAAGTGCTGTCTATGGAGAATGTAGACCTCTACAAACACAAAAGTGACTGTAACCTGAGGGTTCCCAGTAAGTGCCTTGATCTTCCTGTCACCATCTTGTCAATAAGCTCTGCCAAGAGCACAGCATTCCTGGTGAGCTTTTGGTGAATGTATTAAAAGCACCCCTATATGAAATGGGTTGCATGACTGTGGCTTCACCCACGTGCTTAAAAGGACTTATTAATGCTCAACTACAGGCACACACAAAAGGTTAATAAAAGGTTTATTTACAAAAGAAGTGGAAATGAAGAAATGAGTAACTCAGGGAGAAAAAGAGGAGATAAATTCATGAATGCATCCTATCTGTTTGCGGACCTGCTGAGAGCTCATGAAAAGCCAAGCCTGTGGGGCCAAGAGAGCAACCCAGTCCACTTTTGTCTTTCTGGTATCTCTCTCTCTCTCTCTCTGTCCCATTTCTCCTCACTTCCACCCTCCTCCCCCACTCTCTCACTCTCCCTCACTCTATCTCATAGCCCTACAGGTTTCTTACTCTGTCAGGTATCATTCTAAGATATGGAACCACATGTATCCCTTGAACCACTATCCTCATATTCTAGTTTCCTTTTTGTTTCAAGATTTCAAGAGTTATATAAGACAGAAATTACAATGATTTAAACTAAATTTAAGTCTATAATTAAGTATAGAGTTAGGGCTAATATTCAGCTCATAGCACCTTGAGCTTCGCTTTCCAAATTCATATCCTACTTCCTCACTTGAATAGCTCTGTGGATCATCCACAAACTGCTTCCATCTTTCTAGTATAGATTCTTTATGTAAAATAATGGGACAATATTAATAACATACTTTAATATATTATTTAAAAGAATTAATTATATACTTTATTTAAGTGTGTAGCAATATTCCTGACCTTTGTTAAGCTGTTATTCAAGATTAGCTTTTTATCACATGACTGTCATAGCTATTTATATATAAGTAACTATGATTCAAATGTTTCAATTAGAAAAGATTGTGACCAGTTTAATATTAACCACTTCTATCCAAGGAGCATTAGCCTAGAGTACCCAATCACAATGAGACATTAAGTATTAAAGCATAAAAGGAAGAATGCAAACCCTTTACTGACAGGTAATGGTGCGTGAATAGAAATCAAAAGAATCTATAAAGTTCTGGGCTCCCTGGTGGCTCAGGGTTAAAGACATCACTGTCAAGCTATCACCAGCCACTGTAGCACAAGTTTGATCCACAGCCAGCCAGGGAGCAACCCACATAGACTTATCCTGCCTTGCCTGCTGCTCCCCTAAACTGTGTATTTCAGTAGATCTGCCTGTTCTGCTCCCCACTCTCTCTGGTGAATCCTCTCACACCCTGAACCTCTGGCTTACATCCCAGTTCTTGTATGCATAAATAAAAAATTTTTTTAAAAGAATCTATAAAGTTCAGCTTTTATAAGTAAATTAAGTGAGCCATTGAATAAGTTCAAGGAACAAATTGATTAGCTGTCTAAATACTGGCTAACAATACAAAGGTAGATTATTTTTTAATTTTTTTTAAAAAGCATTTTTTTATTCTATTTACAGGTCACATTTCTTTTTTTTTTAAGATTTTTTTAATAGAGGCATGTTATTTATTTATTTATGTTTGTTTGTTTTGTTTATACAAGCACTGGGTACAGTCAGAAACGCGGGAGGGTGAGAGAATTCACCAGAGCCAGAGCGGGGAGCAGAGCAGGCA